TGTCTCTTGGACTAATACTTTCTTTGTGTCTTTGATGTTCTTCGTTCTCCTTTACTCCAGGTGGTTGAGACCAATTGACACATCTTAGATGGCCGCTTGCAAGCTTTTAAGACCCCAGACACAACTCACCAAAGTAGGATGCAGAACATTTTCTTAATAAATTTTGTTATGCCAATTGACCTAGATGTCCCCTGAAAGCATGGTCCCCAGGTCCCCACCCCCGCTACTCTGTCCCTTGAAGTGTCTGATTATATTCAGGAAACTTCTCAGCTTTGGGTTAGTCCAGTTGTGCTAACTTCGCCTGTAGTGTGTGCTGTCCTTCCCTTAAGATAATTCTTGTCTACTATCTAGTTAGTGAATAACCCTCACCCTCCCTCCCCACCCTGGTAACTATTAAAGAATGTTTTCTTCTGTGGCATTACCTTTTTATTAACAATCCATGAGGTAAGGAACTAGCACTTAATGAGTCCACTCAGCAGGCCAGGCATTACGGCAAGTATTCTGCATCTCCTATTTCACTCAGTTTTCACAATAGCCGTATATACGTTAGAGAACATTCTTTCAACAGTTTAGAATACCGAAGCTCAAAGAGGCTAAGAAATGTGATCAAGGTCCTTCAGCTAGTCTCAGAGCCAGCATTCTAACCCAAGTTTTCCCTAAATCCAGGGATCCTACTTGCCACTGCTGCCATAGTACAGGCTGTAGAATATGCATATGCATTTTAGAAGCTCCTAAGGCCCCACTAAACAATGTAAAGTCAACAAATAGGAATTAAACATTTGTTATGTGCAATGAACCAAGGAAGGCAAATTTGGGGATACAAAAAGTACTTAAAGCCTAGTTCCTGTCCGGTAATAATTCCAGTCTAACTGGAGAGGAGTTTCGGAGAACTGAAAAAGTGGGGCCTTGAATGCCAGCATGTGAATTTTTCACTTTTTCCTGCGCAAAGCGACATCATGGTAGATTTTTAGCAGAATCTGAAGCACCATGCAGATGCTGGAGATTTTTTTTTTCTTCTCGCTGTCTCTATCTTCCAAACGATAGCCAGAATGAAAATCTCAATACGTATACAGAGAAAATTTTCCTGGATGACCCAGAGGGGTGGAGTGCTGGATCAGAGAGTTGTTTTATAAATCTCAAAGGGGGGTGGGGAGGAGGCTAAATAAATAAAACCTACCAGAAAAAAATGAAGCATACCAACCTTCCACCTGAGAAACCCAAATGGATAAGATGAATTTGTATTCTCAGCAGAATTGTTAGTTTTTTGGACACAGGGCTCTTCCCAAATACTTCTTGGAACTCCTAAATTATGTTTTTAAGATTAAACATTCTGACCCATAGCATTCCCTATACCATGTCTTCTAATTCATATGTAGCCCTATAAACATAAGAAATACTTAGCAAACGTTAACGTCCACTTCTCAATCCTTTGCTTTCTTGCTTCTTTCAGAATCCCTTAGTGCCCCCAGCACCCCAGAGAGCAAATCCAGGAAGTTCGTTCAGGTACTCAGCCCACCATATCAGCTTTCATGCTCTTTATTTTTTTCTTGGCACTTAAACAGATTTAACCAGGAACTAATAAAACTTGCTTAAGTATTTACTAATTCACATTTCTGATGAAGCACAGGGCCAGGAACAGTACCAAAAGTCACGCTAAACTGGTTTCTCACGTTTATTATGTGCCTTGCACTATCTAGCACAGTACTCCTTATGAAGGAAAACAGATTCAGAGGAAAGAAAGGGCACAAAAATGTTTCTTACGTTTACTCCATCCACCTGCTAGAAAGGACACAAACATTTAAGCTTTCATTTTTAAAGCAATGTTATCAAAATTCTTAAAATATTTAAAGTAGCTGACCTTACACGGGAAGTCAAGGTAAAATACACATAGTTCTAGCAGAAGAATCCTACAAAATAAAAATATACTTAAAAAGATATGTACCACCAAAAAACAATATGCATCATATAAGCTTTATATCAAGGTTGTGGTATTTCGGATGTTAAAAAAATTAATAATGTATTATCATCACTACAATGAAAATTAAATTTAAGTACTTTACGGAGATGATCTTCTTTTTGCAAAGGTCTTTTAAAAAAAGAGACTTAAGACCTCATGTTGTTTTAAAGTCTAGAATACAAATGCAATTTTAACTAAATGTATTAGCATAACGCATGAAAGACAAATTTGGAAACTAGCAGCTGTAATGATTTTTAACAGATGAAATTATATTGAAACACAACAATTACTCTGGGGCGGGGAGATTTTGTTGTTCATTGAACAAAAACTGCTTGAACTATAGGCTCCAAAAATCTCTCCTTTCAGCTGTACATTCCAGGATGTAGGATACTCCCTTACCTACAAGCCATCTGCTGATTAAGGGATTATTTCCAAATACTTCTCTTTATTAACCCCTCCTGTCCAGTGCTGAAAAACTAGAAGACATATAAAATATACATTTTTAATTAACAGACATTTGGAAATGAAGATGGGTTTTGTTAG